GTGCTCATAGAAAAAAATGACACCTAAATGCAAATTGATAAACATGTTATTGTAAGGAATTCAAAAATATATTTAAACTTCTAAACTCTTTGTAATTAAATAACAAATAGCAAACAATATTACTATAAAAGTGACATTTCGCAGGAAATTGAAATTAGATATTATTTCTCTGAGGAGATAAATATTTATAAATACAGATAATTAAAATGTTGTTTTGATAACATGGTTTCGCGCTCAATCAAGGATATGTCACCGGGCAAGCTATTTGAATACCGTGTGTTCTAGATTTATCATTCAATCATTGTCCGTTGATTATTGTAGACGTTTGTTGTAATTATGAACACAGTTTGACTCATTTGATGTCGGAGTTCTTATGCAAATAAATTGATACGTCGCCGGAAACACTTATCCTCGGAAGAGACAATATAACACAAAGTTACTTTCATTTATTTAGTAGAAGTGAGAGGTTTAGCTAGCTATAAAACCAGGTTCAATCCACCATTTTCTACATACGAAAATGCCTGTACCAGGTCAGGAATATGACAGTTGTTATCCATTCGATTGATGTGTTTGAGCTTTTGATTTTGCCATTTGATTATGACTTATATCTAGAAATTGACTATGAGGGTCGGGTGAAAACAATACTTTACGACAAAAGAGATGATTTCAGCTTCCCAATTGTGAATTTTCATTTTTAAACCAAGAGTTTCAAATTGTGAAGTTGAAATCATCACTTTGTAAATTTTACGGACACCATCACGAGTTGGTTGACCGTTATGGAATGTCCGTTTCACAGATGATATCGAATATGTTCCTTATGTCGTAGCTACAATCCCGTTCCCTTTTCACGAATGTGACCTACCGAATTAGACTATTTACCCCTATTTGTGACATTTTTACTCATTGTTTTTGTTTGTTTTGTTCACACATCGTTGTCAATATAATGGAATTTGATTCGACTGTCATACAAGTGAGAGGTTTAGCTAGCTTTAAAACCAGGTTCAATCCAACATTTCCTACATAAGAAAATAAAATTGAGAATGGAAATGGGGAATGTGTCAAAGAGACAACAACCCGACCATAGAACAGACAACAGCAGTACCAAGTCAGGAATATGACAGTTGTTATCCATTCGTGATTTTACTTTTTCTTACTACAAACTGTGTATTGTACTTAGAACATCATTGCTAATGGGTTTTGCACAAGAGGACTTTTAGTTATCCTTATTTATGTAGGTGAGTGTGGAGGATGCTACGTGAAATGTCAGGTTTATTCCATTAACTCAAGTTACATAAAAATTAAAGGGCCGGTATGAACGTTTTCCATTGACGTTTTACTTTTACAGAAATGTTTTCCTCTACAAATACTGGACCAATTTGAGCAAAGCTGGTCACAATTTTTCTAATAGTTACGAGTTTAAACATTAGTCCGATGATCCTTTATGTCAATCAACATGGCTGTTAAGGCTTTAACTTGATTATAAGAAGAAACACGCAAATGTTGTTGCTTGTGTGTAAACCATTGAAAATAGATAAAATGAGCAGACTAAAAAGATCTATATACTGTCTTTTTTATCAAACTGTTCTGACGACTACTTGGGGGAGTTGTTGTCCTTAAATGATGTGTAAATAATTCAGATAGAGAAAGTTAATAGTCGAATGCTTTAAAATGATGTTGCCCATAAATAACAGTTTCAACCTATTTTTGCATTTCGGGACAGTAAACTATAGAAGATAAAGAAACTCTAGACAGTAACAATGATAAGTCAATCATGATCTACCAAAAGCAACATAGCTATAATTGTCTATTGATACCTTATATACATGATAGCCGTTACTGTCATTATGTGATGATTGATGATTGCACTTGTTTTAACACATTAGTAAAATTATAGAGTGTAAACAGCAAACCTGATTGGCAATACTATAGTGGTATTAACTGGCTGCTGCTGTATTGGCCCTGTTATAGATTCGAGGTTAGCTGTATTGGACCCGGGACTCGAACAGCTGATCGGGAATCTATAACAGGGCCAATAAAGAAACAGCCAGTTCATAATACTTTTATTAAATGATTTTACGCTTCAATTAAACTAAGCAACCTACCTTAAAGTGGAAGAATTTACAGCAATTCATATCTGAACTTGTCTTTTCGAATTCACGATGGATATTTTGTCAACATTGTCAGATGTAATTTCTAATTTCTCGTCCAAATACTTAATCTAATGCTACTACAATTCATTTAATCTAGCAAAAAACAAGTATTTTGGAAGAATAAATCAGACAGTTTAACGATTCTTGCTCTAGAATCGTCTGTTTTCTGATAATGGATCAACGGAAATGAAACAGTAACAAATATGGGAAGTCGTACTCGAAAAGGCTAAGAAATATTTCCGTTTTAAGACGTTACAAAACACTGAACAAAATTTAAATTTTTGTTATGATATTAAGTTCATATATATGAATACAAATGCATTTTATGCATAACGGTACGTCCAAAGTTAGCTGTTAAGTAAGCTTAGGCGTAAGAAAATTGAAACCGAAAGTGAACGTCCCGTATTATCCCATGGGCTTAAACGGGGGCCAATGCGGATTTTTCCGTATTTGCCCTGTCCAAAAACCAATATTTACTCCGGATTTATTGTCGATAGGAAAACGTCACCAGTATTGTACTGTATTGTCATATCATTTAATGAAATATCATTACACGCAAGTTATTCCAAATTGCGAACCAATCCCTTGTTGGGCTATAAATATAGTATAGAGAGATTAGTAGAAGGCATAAGAAAAAGATGAGTAATTCAATTTCAACCAAAACTAACATAAATGCTGCCTTCTTTGTATAGAAAACAAATAGTATACAAATACGTTTGTGCAATCAATGTTCCTTGCAGATCATTTAAAGAGTCCCAGGTAAGTTTTGGGAGCGAAACCAAATAGATATATTCCATCAATATTAAATAAAATCGTAAAGGGAGAGTTACAAAATGTATATTTCGGCAGAACAAATATACATATAACTTTATTGGGAGCTTTACTAAGCCATAATCGATTAATCTATACAATTAAACCTCCACATCTTATTACATTTTTAAATAAGTTAATTGTATACTATTCAGGATCGAAAAACAATGCAAGAATAAATAAAAATTAATTGCTCAGAGAACAATTGAAGGTCTTTCCACATCAATGTTATAAATCATTGATGAGAAGCTACTCTCGGTTTACTCAAAGTTACTTTTAGCGTCCAAGCATAGGTTTCTTCATACTGATTCAATAAATAAATGTTTCTATATATTTTTACCTGAAATAAAGGAGATAATTGTCAACTTCTTGTTTAAAAATGTCACTTCCGGTCTCACATGATAGCTGTATGCACACTGATTGCAAAAATATATGGTTTCTATGTACTTTTGCCTATAATATAAGAGATACTAGGTACTTCCGGTTTAATTTTATTGACTTCCGGTCTCAAATGATAGGTTTATGTATACATATTTAAAAAATATTTAATTTCTAGGTACTTTTCCATGAGATAAGTGTAAATATAGCTACTTCTGGTTTACTCAAGGTCACTTTTGGTTGATATTTTTCAAGGTCACATGTCAAATAACAGTCTGCAAAAGACCCTATGGCTTTATCATGTACCAAGTTGGTTTAGTAATGATAACTTGAATCATTTCAGGTCCAATAACTCTTATAAGATGTCATTGGATTGTTTCAGACCAAATGTATCATATCTTAATCACAATCAGGCAAATAAAGGCAACAGTAGTATACCGCTGTTCGAAAGTCATAAATTGATTGAGAGAAAACAAATCCGGGTTACAAACTAAAACTGAGGGAAACATTTTGCAATAGTTCTTTTACATATATCTTTTAAAATGACAGAGTAGATCAAGGAACAAGGAAGAGTCAAAATTTAGAATTTAATCTTGACCTTTGACATTGACCTAGTTTTCTATTCTTTGGACCAAGGACCTCAAATCAACAGACCCTAGTTCTCTATCACTTATGATTTACCAGTTACAAATGCATATAACTTATTTCAAATGGATTAAGGGAAATAACTCTCAAAATTGAGTCTTCGTATCGCTTCTGTCAAAATTTGACAAACAATTCTGAAGATGTAGCAAAAAATTCGGTTAATTAATTTGTCGCTTTCTTTTACGGTTACGGGTGAGATCTCACCACAAAGAAAACAGTGTTTGGGGCGATAACTCTTTACATAAAAAGTCTTCGACTAAACAGGGTCTGTCTCAAAAGCGCAATAACTGTTTAAAATTGCAAAAAATATTAGCCACATCCTGCGAAACCACAAAACAGGGCACGTATCAAATCTGGCGGAAGAAGAAATAGAATAATCAGAACAATATACAATAGGTCTTTTCACAGAATAGTGGAAAGATATAATTAGTACTGAATATTGTGTTGTGTATTGATCGTTTTTTCCACACCTCTTGTACATCATATATTTAAGTACGTTTTTTTCGCATACTTTTATTTTCTGGATATGAAAGAAACAATACTGCCAAATGGACGTTAATAAACCACAATCAATCAATTAAATATGGTTATTCTGTTCTGTAACTTTTTGTCAGTAGTGATTTCAATGGTGCAGGGTTGATTTTTTTAAATACTTGATCAATCGTTATTGTTTTCCTGGCTTAGGTAAAAATCCTCGAATGTTGTAATTTTTACTTTTCATTATGTTGGGTTTTTTTCGTTTTTTTTTTTTTTTAAATTGGAAAGTTGATGGGGTTATTTTTGATCTTTGATAGTGACAAAACTGATTACGGCTCATATTTAGGACTTGACATTTATAAGATACATGTCTACAACTTGGTTACTGTATCCATCACGCTCTTTTTCAAAACAACTATACAAGCACACAAATACACATATATTCAAATGTAGCGTCATGGCGTATACATAATTCAGTTGTATCTAAAACATGAGTGCAGATAATTACTCCAGGTCATTGTTATTTTAATTTTCTTTTAGATTTATTCAACTCTTCAACATCGTACGTTGTGAATGACGCGAATGATATTTACGCCATGTTATCCAATGAGTCAAGATACAACAAACTTGTCCCACCAGACAACCTAGATACTGTATCTGCAGGATACACCTTGCACAATGTCAATTCATTAGTAAGTATATTCATTTGTTATGTTCGCCTATCTTCAAAAAGAGGGGCGAAAGATACCAGAGGGACAGTCAAACTCATAGATTGAAAATAAACTGACAACGCCATTCAAGGTTCCCAATAAACATTGCTTTACTGCCTAGCAAAAACAAAACTGCAAAAACAAATATCAGGAACCTATACAAGCAATTATGGGAAGCTTTTGTAACCTGTAAAACTGCAAAAAAACACGACAAATAATTACTGTTTCAATGAAGATATTATCTGAGCAGTCAACCACAGTCAACCAATACGAACTGTCACATATTTTCAAAACATTCATATATTACGATGGCTCTGCTGACTGATTATTGATTGCATGTACAACAGCATAATACTATGTTCGTGTTATCCTGTAATTTTTATTACACTGGATTATTCATATAAGTGTGAATCTTATACTGATGTATTTCCAATTTGGCAAATGGATGACAATTTAAATTAATTAAAGCTGAATATCATTAGTATTTGACTGAAACGTTGAAGTTATATAGGAATCAAAGTAACGTACATGAGGCGTAACTCTTTGTTCAATTGTCTTTAATAGACAAACAACCTAATCATCCTTTTTTTTTTAAATAGAACATTTCTCGTCAGCAATATAGTTTCAGAAATGTGTACCTATATTTCCAGTGTATATAGACCTTTTATTTTTAATACTTGTCATATTCCCAATTATGTACTGGTTGATTTGCAAAAAATAGTTGCGGATCCATAAATTTTCATAAGATGGGGCCCGCTCCAGTCATACTTCAGTGATTCCCTACATACTCAACCAAGTTTTTCCCACAAAAGTTGGACCCCGGTCCCCTGCCCTCCCCATAAATCTGCCTCTGAAAAAGGGTATAACAAAAATACCGAACTCCGATTATAAATTCAAAACGGTAAGTCCGCAATCAAATGGCAAAATCAATAGCTCAAACATGCCAAACGAATGGATAACAACAACCATATGTCTCACTAGGTAAAGACATTCTCTTACATAGAACACGGTGGATTAAACTTGGTTTTTTCACTAGTAAAACTTCTCATTTGTATGACAGTCGCATAACATTCCATTATATTGACAACGCCGTGTGAACAAAACAACCAGACATAATAGGTAGAAATACTCGTAGATTGAGTTCAAACCATGCAAACCAAGCAAACCAATTAATCATAGTATTACTAAGAAAATTCAGATAACAATGTTTGAAAGCAACAATACATAAGAAATAGAGGAGATACAAAAATAAATATATATATTTCTCTTAACAATCTATATGCATAGGCAATTATTGTCAAATGGGAGTGTTGAGATAAAACAGTGTAGTTCTGACCAAACTTCGTAGAGAGTGGAAATCTCATGTTATAGTTGAACAGGCAGATAATCATTAAACTTAAATTTCAAAAATGTAGCTATCTCTAATTTTATCAAAAGTGTACATATATCAATTTAGGATTCACACGAAGAGATATCTACGTTTCATCATCCAAAATTAAAATAATAAAAATACTGAAGTCCGAGGACAATTCAAAACGAAAAGTCCCTAATCAAATGGCACAATCAAAAGTTCAATCCCATCTAACGAATGGATAACAACTGTCATATTCCTGACTTAATACAGGAATTTGATGATGTAGAAAATGGTGTATTTTCTGATCTATTTGACCATTTATTTTTACGGGTAAGGAACTGAGGCATAAAAGCCTTAGTATTTCAAAAATGTCAAGTTTTGTAAACAGTTAATTTATAAATATGACCATCGATGATAGTGCATGTCAGCACAGAAGTTCTCACTACTGGGCTGGTGATACTCTCGGGGAATAAAACTCCACCAGCAGTGGCATCGACCCAGTGGTTGTAAATAAACTAATCATAGATACCAGGATATAAATTTTGTATTTGCACCATTCGCGCTTTTCGTCTAAAAAAGACTCATCAATGACGCTCGACGAATCAAACAATTTTAAAAAGGTTAAATAAAGTACAAAGTTGAAGTGCATAGAGGACAAAAAATTCCTAATAGTTTTGCTAAATACAGCTTAGGTAAATTTTCCTCAGATAGAAAAGCATTATTATTTCAAACACGTCACGTTCTGTAAACAGTTATTTTATACTTATGACCATATCAATGATAACTCATGTCAACTCATAAGTGCTGACTACCGGGCTTGTGATACACAAACGCGTGATAAGAGAAAAAAACCAGATGTATACATTTAGTATTCAGTTTATGTTTATGTTTCATAGCAAATTTGTCTTTTATTAGCAGCTGTTATCAAAAAGTCTGCTTCTTCTATAGATATAAGAAGATGTGGTATGAGTGCCAATAAGACTACTCTCTCATCCATGTCATAATTTGTAAAAGTAAACCATTATAGGTCAAAGTACGGTCTTCTATGCATATTTGGGTTTGTTTTTGTTGCACTTCAGTGTTTAAGTTTTCCGTTGTTTTCCCTTTATTGTTCATTTGTGGAACATTCAGTTGCATTCAGAATGATGTGATAAAGTGCATTATACATTGTCATTGCATGGAAGTATTATCATGATTATATTGAAAGGAACTCCAACAAACCGATTTTAAACGTTTAAAGTGTGATTCGGCAAAATCGGATGTATAATTAATTGTCACGGAAATGACATTAACCATCATGTCACTTCATGACAAATATGTCAGCTTTGACGGGTTTTGCTGCGTTAAAACAAATAAAAAGAAACGAAACGAAAACCCACGAATGCTTTCACAAAAAAACTGAAATGTAAAAATAACATTGAAGGTTTAGTTGCTATTAATCTAAATTGTAAGATTTTTATTCACACCAGGGCCGTTGGCTTAACATGCATAACTGTTATATAGGTTTAATACCACAATTGCTTTCCCCTATTAGTCTTTATTAAATTTGAATTTTTTGAAAACTTGTTCAGTATTTTTTTTTTTGTTTTAGATAAAAACATTCTTGACATGAGTAAAGTGTTATCCTGCCTAGTACTATAGACACCATTTCACATAACATTTCATTGCCTCAGTTTTAGTTTGTTACCCGGATTTTCTCTCAATCGATTTATGACTTTCGAACAGCGGTATACTAATGTTGCCTTTATCTATAACAAAATAACCACCAAATAACCACTAACAGTTAACCAATTAAATTTTCGCCTCTTTTTTTTACCTGTGTACAAGCTTCGGTAACCATGTAACCCCAAGTTTCCAAAAGATTTTATAGAAACCCCAAATAAAAAAAAGGTTGCTTTGTTATACCTAAGACATATGTTTATGACCCACAAATTGTTTACAGCAATGAAATATAGATTAATTACACACAACTGTCGAATTCAAGGGAATATCTTTGTTCGACCTTTTTTCGTATGCAACTGGATGTGACTTACTTTGATAGTATTACACCTATATACACGACAGGCTTGAAAAGTATAAAATTCTTATAAGAAGTTAAATGAAAAGTTTTTATCTACAATTCTTATCGAGGTTCACTGCTAACTTAGACACATATTATAATTACGTGTTAACTGAGTGTCAAGTGCCAACGTATTTCATGAAATTTAAACAAAAATAATTCGAACTTTAGTTCTCCGTATCGGCGGGCGAAGATGTTGTTTAAGGGCATTATCGAGAAAAAAAGATATCATATTTTAACATAATGAAATATCGCTTGGGCAATTATCTCAGATCTCCTTTTTGTAAATTAGCCTAAATAACAACGAATTCCTTGTTTAAGGAAAAAAAGTTTTAATCTGCATCTGTTATTGATGTTTATCGCTAAATTTTTTACAAATATTTTAATTGATTGTTTCACTGAAAGTCCAATGGCAAATATTTCATGCAATTAAACAAGAAACAAAAACATACATTGCCTAACATATGTTGTAAGTCGTTGTTTAAGAACTGTTAAGCATTTACACACAAAAATAAATATAAATCTGGTTCCACTAATAGAATTTTAAGAAGAAAAAAAATTTATATTACTGAGAGCCCATCATAATAATCGTTTATAAAATGCATCCCGACGTTTTTAAAGTTAAGCCATTCTAAAAAATAAATCTATCAGACGTCAGAGAAATATCGGATTAGGTTGAAGGTTGTTTTTAACTTTTGAATTATCATATAAGGTGTAACAAGTCATCCGTCACGTTATCTGATACAAGCCACATAGAAGTCATCACGTGCGTGTAATTATTATCGAGTTTTAGTCTTTAACACATATTTGTTATTGACGTTGATAACACTTTCTTCTATTGAGCATATTTGAAAAAAAAACATAAATAGTCTTGTAACATTCGATAAATATTTACATTATGTAACTTAAATTTGAGCTATCACCGCCATCTTACATATTACACGAGAAACACATTATTTCCGCAAACACGTTACTTGAGGTACATGGGAATTTTTATATTGGATATTTTCCGATTTCCAAGTTCCAATGATTAAAACTTATAAAAGTATTTATAATATTCTTGCCCTCTTTCCGAACGCAGTTGAATTTCTTTTGCCATTCTATTAAATTATTTTTTTTAATCTTTTTAGCTTTTGTCTTTATTTATTGAACGGTAACAGGTAATCGTTTTCATGTGGCGATTCACAAATAATCGTTGGTGTTTCCATGGTTATTCAATTTGGTAAGTAGATATGACACTCGATATCAAATCACGCGATACGACTAGATTTAGTACACAGAACAGGCGAAGGCGTCGCAGATACTACTCAAAGGAGTTATCACGTACTTGACATACTTGAATGGAACCTTTTGTTTTCTTCTTTAAAAAATCAATGTGATGCCAATGTGCTAATTTTGCATTGGAGTGTCAGTCAACATTATATTTCCATGGTTACATAAATAACTGAAAGACTTCTGAAATGGTTTTGTGAGAATTATTTTGAGTTGCTATAGATAATTTCTAGCCAAAAAAAATCGAAAAAAATTATCCTTTACATGCTTTAAAATCTATAAACACCATAACCTACCCAAATTACCCAAAGCCAAGCTTAAAGAATACACGTAAAACAGAAATTTCAAAATAATAACAAATCATTTTTATAGAATATTCATCATGCACAAAAGACAGGTTTCCAAGAATAATGTTTTAAATGAAACAAATCAAAAATTGATCTTTGTTACGCTATTTAGGTGTTTTCGTTACATTTGTGCTTCTTTTTTTCCGGATAAAACATGTACACAAATATTTTTTTTTATTCACTCATAGACACCTGAGTCTAGGTATTTGACTTACTATATGTAATCTTATATTTAGTTTTATGTTGATTAACACGAGTTCTAGCGACTACTAAAATTTGTCAGTATCATATGACGTTTTGAATTTATTTTATTTCATTGATCTGTTGATTTTTCTATTTATTTTAGGATTTGAAGTCACAGACGTTTTCGACAACAGGATTTTTCACTCTGGTCAGTAAATTTAATAATTTTCTTTTATTTTAATTTGGGCAAAAGTAAAAGTAACTGCTTTTTTTTTTTACTTTTTAGAAACTGTTTTGAATTGACTTATTTGTGTTTAAATGTTAATAGTTTTCAGACTAAGTAAACTATATGATATTTTCTTGGAGCGTTATAAAATTTCATTTTTATGCCGTTGTATGAATACATCCGTATTATTACAGACTTCTGTCGTTACAAGCTGTTTCCTAGTACCGATAAACCGTAAGATGATAAACGGTCTCTTAAAGTAAGCAATAAAAATGGAGGTATTGATTTTATAAATGTATCTAGTATATTCAATGAATCTACCATCAACAGCAAAATACCTCCATATATTGATAGTACATAGCCGAAACATCTAGTTTTAGATATGTTCCATATGGTCATGTCATTACAGGAGAACTCAACATCGATGGAGACCGTGATGTCAAATCTTTTATGACTTGATGACACCGTTTCCAATCTATAAAAATGGGGACGATATTTAGGTCGTTTTTTATAACAAAGTTTTGACATCACGGTCCCTATCGATTATGAGGTCTCTTGTAGTATTCAGGTCCATATGCTCCACAGAAAGTCAATTTGTAACCGAGAGTATTACTGTCACTACCCATCTTAAAGTTGAATCTTTTACCCACATGAATGTCCCGACTAAATACTGGTTACCTTATTAAAAAAAATTAACTGGTTACTTAATTACAAAAAAAACATGTGCATAGATATACACACATGTGTTGTGAACAATGAGTGGGTTACAGAAACTTTCAAAAATGCACTTTGAATATGACATGTATGTACTTATCAGCTCTTTTATTTGTATTGGCTATTGAAACTATTGCCCAGAGATTTAGGAATACTAAAAATGTAAATGGAAATGGAATAAATGTAAAACAAGACAGGAAAAGTCATTAAGTATTTCACAATTAGCAGACGACACAATACTGTTTTGTGGTACTTGCAATGAACGAAATTAAATGTTTTGTTTCTTTTTCAGGTGTTTTATTAAATAGAAATAAAACAGAGGGATTATGCGTTCGGAAATGAAAATCATGTAAAGATTAAATTGTCGGGACTAGGTGGGGAGATAAACAAATTAAAGGAGGGTGTTTTTCGGACATGATAAAGAGAAATGCCAAAAAATAGAGTGGAATTGTCAAGTAGAAAACATGAACAAATTATTTGTGAAATGGAAAAAACGAAATCTTAAGATTATAGGAAACATTCTAATTATAAAGACTTTAATATTACCTTTGTTTGCTCATAGGAAGCATCTGTCTAACTTCATAAAATTATCTAAAAGAAAAACAGAAAAAGTAGCTATAAATATATTTGGGATAGAAGAACAGATAAACTTAAAAGAAACCTGATGATAGGTCCATATGAAAAGGGGGGTCTAACAATGGTTGACTTTAAAAAGTTATTTTGTGACTTTAAAAGCATCATTGGTAATTAGGTTCACTTGGTAAATGTCGAACTTGGAAGCTTATACCATTTAAATATGTAAATGTTTCAAACGGAAGTTTGTCAATATTTAACATAGATTTTAGTGCCTGAGTTTTATAAAGGAGTAATAAAGTCTTGGAGTTTGACTGGCGGGGGTAAACAAAACAATCATACACGTTTGCTGATATAAGAAAACAAGTAATAATGGAAAATAAATCTATAAAATTTGGTAATAAACCAATTATATTTTAGAACTTAATTAAGAGTCATCTGATTTACATTTATATTATGATCGATAATGAAATGTCGTTATCGGAAATATACATTCTAACCAAATTGAAGTTCAAAATAAACTGGATCGCTGACTTTCATAAATAAAAAAAAATCTATCCCAAAAGAATGGACCCAAGTTGTTCAAAAATTAAATTTTGTTAAAACTACATTTAATATTCAGAGAAATAAGGTAATTTGGAGAAAAAAATCATACTGAGACTACATTATTAACAAATAACATGTTATATCACTCTTTAATAAGTATAAAACAAGAGCCATCAATAGGGATACACAGATTGCTTAGATTCTTAGAAATAAAAGAAAATATAATATGAATTCATTGTACCAATTAATTTTTTAAAATATGACTGAAAATAAACTTAAAATATTTAGATTGAAATTATAACAAGATATTGTTCCAACGAAAAAACACTGTTTTTGCAGTGGAAAATACATGTAACTAAAACCGTTAAGTATAATGTTTATAACCAAGAAGAAGATTATGCACACTATTTTCTGTATTATACATATTTGGCTAGATTTTTGCAAAGGCTAGATTTTTGTAAAAAAAAATCCATGACTTCTTTAAAAGAAGTAAAATTTTGTTATTGAATTACAACATCTTATATTTGGATATAAAATCACAGAGAGTAAAAACTATATTTTGAATTATCTAATAACGGTACCTAGTTTTTCTATTTATAAGTCACATTATGTATCCAAGCAGAGAACAAAAAGATGTTAGATGTTTTTAGTATTTTTGAAAATGATATCAATAAGCGAGTAGACACAGATAGCTTTAAATCAACAAGTTCAATGTTATTGTTTATTGAAAAAATGTTTACCAATTGTCTCTGTAGTAGACAATTGTGCATTTTTATATTATGTTCATAAGTTAATATTTAGTTAAGAAAATGTCACTTCCAGTCTACTTTGATGGCGTTGTCAGTTTGTTTTCGATCTATGAGTTTGACTGTCACTCTGGTATCTTTCGTCCCTCTTTAATAAGTTGGTTCAGCTGTTTATTCCCTTGGATACTGAGTAGAGTGTTACAGGGTAAATCAAGAGAAGATTGGACTCTTGATGAAATTTGTAACGAAATAGTTGATGAATAAATATTATTATGTTGTTTCACACAAATGTTTGAAAAAAGAACTTGTTATTAACTTTGTTATAACGATTATGCAAACAATAGTATTGAATATAATAACTTTTGGAGTTGTTACAATTCTTTTCGAGGTTTTAGATCAAATATTTGTTTTTAATGGTCCTTTTAATTATGTTGATAGTTATGATTTTGTTTTCTCTCTACGCAACCCTTCAGCACAATCTTTTCAAGAAAAGTTTTCATATTTATAGAAAGTACTTCCGGTTTACTCAAAGTTACTTTTGGCGTCGAAGCATAGTTTGTTATGCTGATTTAACAAAAAGATGGTTTCTTTATACGTATACCTGAACTAAGGGAAATAATCGCAAATTTCCGGTTAAAAAATTGTCACTTACGGTCTCATATGATAGCTGTATTTACACTGATTCCACAAATATATGTTTTATATATATACTTTTGCATTTAAAAAAAGGCGAACATTGGCTATTTTATTTAAGAAAATGTCACTTCCAGTCTACTTTGATAGCTGTATTCACACTGATTCCCAACATATATAGTTTGTTGATACTTATGACTGTAATAAAGGAGATGATTTGCTACTTCCGGTCACTTTTGATCTAAAATGATAAATTAAGTAATGCCCATTTAAAAAAAATATATTGATTCTATGTCCTTTTCATGAAATTTATGCATAAACCACTACTTCCTGTTCAATCAAGGTCACTTCCCCTTGATAATTTTACAAGGTCATACAAGTGTATGTCATCCAACATTTTCCCAAAGATCTTATGGTTTTATCATGTACCAATCTGAGGTAATAATCAATTTACATTAGAATACAAATTTTCAAGGGCAATTACTCTTATAAGATAAGATTGGATTGTTTCAGCCCAAATATATCATATCTTCACCACTTTTAAGTAAACATTTTATATATAACGTTAAAAGAGTGGTGATAGATACCAGAAGGACAGTCAAACTCATAGATCAAAAATAAACTGACAATGCCATGGCTAAAAAAGGAACAGACAAACAGCCAAATAATAGAACAAAAGACACAACATAGAAAACTTCAGACTAAGCAACACGAATCCCACCAAAACTGGGGATGATCTCAGGTACTCCGGAAGGGTGAGAAGATCCTGCTCCACATTTGGTACCCGTCGTGTTGTTCATTGTATTACAAACCCGGTAAATAGTCTAATTCGGTAGGTCACATTCGTAAAAGTATCAGAGATAATGCAAAAACTAGCAAAAGTCAAAATTGAGGACATGATCTTGACCTTTGAACTTGACTTCAATTTATATGTTACGACAAAAGGACATCAAATTAAAAGACTCTGTACGGCTTACTGTTTAAGAGTTACAAAATAATAACAAAAAAATAATTTAGTAAAGGTAGAAAACTCCTATAAGAGTTCACTTAATATTTTCGATTCAAACCAGTCAAAAATGTCTGAGTATGTAACGAATAAATATGAAAATGAAACTTGTCGTTATCTTTTATGTTTACGGAGTAGAGATACAAACAAAAAAACAGTGTTTGGGAGATAACTCTTACGATAAAAAAAGTATCTTACTTAAAAAGAAGAGTTTTAAAAGCACAATAACTGTTCGATATAATATCCAAAATATATAAGCGACATCTTGCGAAATTACTTTATACCACAAGAAAAGGGTTTCGCGGAAGAAGAAAATAATGATAATAATAATTAAAAATTAATTGTTCTGAGAATATTTGAAGGTCTTTCAAAATTAAATTTCTAAATTATTCAGGAGAAGCTAGTTCCGATTTATTCAAAGTTACTGTTGGTGTCTGAACAAAGGTTTCTGATTCAATAAATATATGTTTCTATATATTTTTGCCTGATATAAGGGAGATGATTGTCAATGTTCGGTTTAAAAAATGTCACTTCTGAACTCACATGATAGCTTTATTCACACTGATTCCAAAATATATTGTTTCTATATACGTTTGCCATAAATAAGAGAGAGATATAAGGTACTTCAGGTTTATTGAAGGTCGCATCTGGTCTTAAATGATAGGTTTGTGTATGCTTTAAAAAAAAATAGTTTCTTTGTATTTTTCATGAAAAAAGTGAAAAATAAGCTACTTCCTGTTTACTCAAGGTCACTTCCGGTTGTA